TTGGCAGTAGCAAGTTCCTGTACTTGCTTGCAGCAGCAGCAATAATCTACAACTACAGCAGTAACCAATAGCAGCAGCGTAGCTGATCTATTCGTCCAAGACCAGATCCATTACCATGCTAAAATCTTCCAAGAGTTGTCATGATAGAACTGAAGCCGTTTTAATCTGTACTCTAATGCCTTACCTAACCTACTATACTAAACCTTCATCACAGCCAGATGCACAGCAACCCAATTTTTAGGTGTATGCTGCAAAACATCATTGGGGTGTGTAAATAATGACAGAATTTTCATTTTTATGTGATGTATTCCTTGGAGATCAGCAGATGAAGAGTGTTCTGTGCACGTCTCTCTCCAGCTGACATGAAGGAATGAGTAGTGGAACTGTTCCCAGATCAGATCTGCTTTGTAGCAAACACTAATTAACGTCAGTTCAGACCAACACAGGCTTCATCTTAGATGAGATCTCCCACTCTAATTACAGCTGTAAACATGTTGGATTTTCCAATGATATGCTTGCTGTCGCCCATCGCTGTTTATTATGGATGCGGAACGTGTTGAATTAATGTGACACAAGTGGTATTGGCATCTTAAATGGCTTCATTCTTCACACATGCATGCAAGCACACATAACTTCCTCTATGATCTGGTACCTTTCTGACTTTTTTTCTTAGCAAGTTAACAGATATTGAAATGTGTGGCAGAGATTTTGTAAACTCTATTTTAGATTATTAAGAGATAATTAACAGTTTGAAGAAGGCACTAATTATTTTGTCAGAGCACTAATCAGTTTCTGTGCGCACTAACAATAACCGACAGCTCAGTTAATGACACCTGTAGTGATCAGATCACATAAACACTTTGCTCAAACAACACATGCTGAACAGCAAGCCTGTGTTCATTCACATACCTTAATGAGTAATTAATGCCTTTATGCAATATGTATGTCTCATATCATGCAGAATATTTTGAGGACATTTTTTTCTGACCCAGTTCGGACCTTTTAAGTCTTGTTTACTGTGATTTATTTTCTTAAGTTTTAAGTTTAAATTGCAGTGGTCTGAAATGAAGTTTATTTCCACTGAATTAGGAGTAATATTATAGAAAATTTGCTGTATGACCTCTATTATTGCTATATTATTGCTGCTGTCTTCACACTTTGCAGACTCAAATTATGTTGTTGAGGTTCAAACATCTATTATTCTTTGATCCTCGAAACTGCTGTGTCCTGTACACCTCTTTAAGGCTGCCTACGGAGTCTGTTGTCTCAGCATACTGTCTGTGAATAGGACCAGAACACGTGTCCTCATATTACACCTGCAATTTAGGCAGTGATAACACTTGCTTTGTGGTTGCCATAAATAAACCCATTCGGTTATCTTGTCTTGTTTTCAAGATAAACGTTTATGTGTGTTTTGAAAGTGTGTGTGTACACGAGAGGCACTTGTGTCAACTGGTTGGTTTGTGTTCCTGTCTCAGGTCTCATCTGATGCCCAGGCTGAAGGAGTCGCGCTCTCACGAGTCTTTGCTCAGTCCCAGCAGTGCAGTAGAAGCTCTGGACCTCAGCATGGAGGAGGAGGTCCTTATTAAACCAGTGCACAGCTCCATCCTCGGGCAAGATTACTGCTTTGAGGTATAGACACCTCTTTCACTTGCTTTACATTATTTACATTAATAAGTTCATTGATCTGATCTCTCTCAACCCTAGGTACATGTTAATTTAAATTTAATATTACAGTATATCATCATTCATAAGACAGTGGTTTTAACCAGGCAAGTTTCCAGCAAAAAGCAGTTTGTCTGATTATATAGATTTCCATTTAATCGTGATCTTAATTGAACAGTCCCAAAATCGATTTTTTTAAATCCCAGTTTCGATTTTGAATGAATAATTTGAATTTTAGTAGAGAAGAATTTTAAAAAAAAAGAGAGAATGAATTGTGTACAAAATGGCTATTATAACTGAAATGTATACAAATTATTTAAAATTTAATTAAAACCAGAATCAAATCAAGAGATTATAGATTAAGACAGAATTTAATCAAATTCAGAATCATATCAATTCAAGAGCGTGTGGATTAAACCAGAATATAATAAAATTCAGAATCAAATCAAATTAAGGAATTTAATCAAACCTGGGAAATCAGAATTTATTCAGTTTGGTTCAATTTTGATTCTCTTTTTTATAGCTTCTTTTATAGCTTGTGATTCATGGTCAGAACATGTGTGATTGTCTATATCCAGATTTCTGAACATGTTTTTTTAAATGCTGTATTTGTACCCAAAATATCTGTCAGTAAATGTGATTCAGTTTTGCATTTTGTAACATATATTCAAAGGACATTAAAACGTGGCACAGGTTTGCTTTTGATGTAAGTGAGCTGGAAGCCGTGAGATTGTTGCAGCAAGCTGACAATTATCAACCTTTTTTCCCAGGTGAGCACCTCCACAGGTAGTAAGTGCTTTTCCTGTCGTTCGGCCGCAGAGAGAGACAAATGGATGGAGAACCTGCGACGGGCCATCCACCCTAATAAGGTAAACTCGCCTTTCTGCAGAGTTGCTATTATTCCTGCATAGGCTAAAATCATACTTGATGCTCTGATTTATTACTGAAGAAATGCGACTCAATGCAAATAAAAAAGAGACATCAAATAATGTTTCTGCATCTGTAAGAATGATGAAATTCAGGGCCGTTTTTTCCATCGCTCTTTGATATAAGCACATGAGACGCAGGAAAGCAAAACATATGGCTGCTTTGAGATCTCACCCGACAGCTCATTTCACCAATCAATGATTAAGCAAATTAATGGTTAATTAGATTGGAACAAAAATTCAAGCACAACCTTCAAGTTATATTTGCCTTCTTCACAGCTTGCCTGGGGATGTGTTTAATGTCTCCCCATCGCTCAGTCTTACATTTTAATTACTCAGTGGGTTTCTGAGGTGAACACCAGAGCCAGGCTTTACAGAGCTTTGCTGTGAACAGATGATGCTTTCAGACAGATGTTGATTCTGTAGTAGTGTGGAGATGATCATAGCTCAGGCATTAGCTGCTGCGGCAGAGGCCCATTTCTGTCTGCCTAATTAGTTCATTATCTGTGATGAGGGCGCACAATGGAGCACCTCAATACCGAGATGCAAAATCAATTGCCTTAGTGGGTGTTTATTTGTGTGGGAATATCCATGAGCACTAGAGCCCTACACAATGCCCAGTGCCTTTAGTATAGTCATCTGCTGTTATAGAGCAATTCATCCGTCAAGCCTTAAAGGCATAGTTCACTCAAAAATGGAAGCTGTATTACTATTTATTATGTACTTATTATTCAAGAATCTTTGTACAGTTGGGGTGAAACGGTTCTAGGTAAAAAAAACGAACCGTACTGTTCTCCACCCACGGTTCGGCACGTACTTGCACCGCGCTCTTAAATCTGACACTGCAACTTAAATCTGACAATGCATCTAAAAATATTAACACGTAAAACAGACTGAGTTAGGCTAATACACATTTCTGTTGTATTCCCAATACATTACAACAATAGCGATGAACAAAAAAAAAAAAACGTGGACAAACTCTTTGTTCAATGCAAGTGCCGTATGCTTGAATATGACCAGTCATTTATGCCGTCATCACCTGGGTGTTGATAGCACGTGTGCGCAGAGGAGAACTGAACAGCACGTTTCTATCTGTGTTTAAACTAAACTCATTTAAGCCTTGCCATTTTAAACATTCAGAGCCAGAAGACATGAGAACTCATAAGATTTGTGTGTGCGCTCATTCAAAGCGCGCAAACCCCAGAACGCACAAAAAAAATTGAGTTACAAGTCTTGTGCTCGAATGGACAAATTCATACAAAAATTATGTCAAAATGTCCATCTTGGTACTGTAAGTTGAACCTAGAGGATCAGTGTAATGTATCCATGCATTGTCTTAAAGTGACAGCACTTTTTTAATGTTAATCAAACAACAAAAACAAGGAAATCACTCGCTGCTCTTTATTTAATAGCTTATGTAACTTTAATAAGGATGAATATTTAATTTATACAGTCAAATACGCAATGTGATTACTTTATATATTTGATTACTTTATTCAATTTCTGTATCTAAAAACTAATGTTAGACCTAAAAACCTGAATAGCACTGTTTATTTTATCTGTATCTTTGCTCTACTTTATTTATTTGTGCTGATGTTTGTAGTTAGATTATTTGTTCTTATTTTCTTTATTTTTATTTGCCAGTATAGTTTCTTCCGTAAACATAGCACATACCGAACCGTACCGAAACGGTGACTCTAGAACTGTGATACAAACTGAATCGTGAGTCACTTTAACTGTTACACCCCTATTATACAGCCTAGGGCTGCATGATTAATGAAAATAAAACTGGTAATAATACAGATGCTTCTGCATGACATCACTAATTGTGGGTGGGGCAGTGTGGAGGGACAAGAATTGTTGTATACCTCTGGTGAGCGAGGGCTTTAGTCTGTTCAGTTCAGTGATTCACAATGGTCTGTGGCCTCAGAAATAACTGACATTTAGTTTTATTCTGATCTCATCCTCCATTGCCTCCTAAGTTATAAGAGGAAGGAGGGATATCTATAAATTAGCCTCTATTATAGTCCAACGAAAGCTTAACCTTAACTGCAGCATGATGCAGGTCAACTTTATGGCCGTCCCTCGTATGTTAAACCACATGACTTCACACTGGAAAGACTGTTCTATTAAAAAAAGGCCAGTGAATGACATTAACTGCTGAATGATGTCACACAGTATTTACAGCACCGTCCTGCTATCTTTATGGGAAGGACATGAAGTGGTCTAAAATAAAGGGCCTTTTAATATCAAGCCAAGGTTGGGTGATCTGAAGCAGAGGGTATTTAATCACGTCATCTCTAAATCACTGACCCTGTTAGATGCCACACTGATGCGCTAATAATCCATTACAGCCGTGACATGGCAGCCTAACAGTCCACTGACCTCACAATGCCCTTCCGTCTCTAGGACAACAGTCGGCGGGTGGAGAATACGCTCCAGCTGTGGATCATCGAAGCTAAGGACCTTCCGGCCAAGAAAAAGTACTTCTGTGAGCTCTGCTTGGACGACGGCCTCTATGCCCGCACAACCTGCAAGCTGAAGACAGATAACGTCTTCTGGGGTGAACACTTTGAGTTCAGTAACCTCCCTACGGTCCAGAACATCACCGTCCATCTCTATAGGGACTCGGACAAGAAGAAGAAAAAGGACAAGAACAACTACGTGGGGCTGGTGAGCATTCCAGTGGTGAATGTCATGAGCAGGCAACTGGTCGAGAAATGGTACCCAGTTAGCCAACCCAATCCAGGGAAAGGGAAAACGGCTGGACCCATGGTCCGCATCAAGGCCCGGTACCAGAGCATGAACATCCTGCCCATGGAGCTCTATAAAGAGTTTGCCGAGTACACCACCAACAACTACATGCTGCTCTGCTCTGTGCTGGAGCCGGTCATCAGCGTCAAGAACAAAGAGGAGATGGCCCGCGCTCTGGTGCACATCTTACAGAGCACCGGCAAAGCAAAGGTATTGTGAAAGTCTAACAGGTTTTTGTCGTTTAGCGAAGGGTTTTCAAACTGCTCCAGGAAAGTACTAGGGGGTCTACATAAAAGACAATCTTAAAGAATATAAAAGGATATAATAATATTAATGAAAACAACAATAATAATATAAAATAAAAGAAAGTTTTGTTCTGCCTCAAATGGCTCAATTTTTTTTTTTTTTTACACAGTATAAATTGGATCTTTATACATCAAAAATATATAGCTGCCTTTTGTATTTTAGGAAGGAGGTCCATTTTGAACACTCGAGAGAGTGACATAACAGGTGTTTAATGTATTTCTAAAGGTCACAGTGGCATTCATACCTACAACCTTGTGGTTTAATTTTCCAAATGATTAACCGGTATGCTTTACCACCACAAGCTGACAGACATGACCTAAAGTCAGTTTTTATCTACTGCACACATACAATCAGTAATTCTAATAGATGGAGACTTTAATATTTGAATATTGGCTTTTGCTATACCAAATGTACATGTATTCCTCTGGAAAAGCTTGTCACATGACTTACAGTGTTTTATATAGTTGTTTTAGCTGCATAAATAACATATAATATGTAATTCTTTGTAAAGCTTGACAGTATTTTGTGATTCAAAATATTTATATAACAAAATTTTATATTTTATA